TTAATAAAAATAAAAATATATAGCAGTCTCGTCTCGTCTTGTGTCATGTCAGAAACGCAGGAACTGGAAGGGAGATCATTATTAATCTAAATTTAAATTTTTTTAAAAACTTTAATAAAAATAAAAATATATAGCAGTGGAAGGCAAAAGAGAATTATTGGAAAGAAAGCAGACGTGAAGCCATTCCCTGACCTGTTCGATTTCTGCATGCAAGGAGTCCCACAGGGAAAGAGCGTTCCACTGTGCAGTCTCAGACAATGCAGGTCAGAAAGAGCTTGAGGGTGCTGGCCATCCCAAATTCCCCACTCTCACCCCATAGGGAAGCGTGGCACCTGCCCGCTAAAGCCGTCTCCCTGGCGCTCCTTCCGTTCCAGGATCCTTCACAACTACATGTTGTGGCGCATTACGGTGGTGCTGAGCGAACACCTCTCCACCCCGTTCCGAGACGCCATCCATGAGTTCGCCAAGGAGATGGAGGGTGCCGAGAAGCAGCTGGAGCTGACCAAGACCTGCCTGAGTCAAGCGAACAAGCACTTCGGAATGGCCTTGGGGGCCCTTTTCGTTGAAGAATTCTTCTCCTCCACCAGCAAGGCCAAGGTAAGAGTCCACGGCAGAGGAAGGGCAGCGAGCAGCCGGATCTGATCGCTGAGGGCGCATCCTGGTGCCTGTCGATCCCCAAAGCGTCCCAGCCCGGGACCCTCCGGACAGGTGGAACTTGGATCCTCGTAATCCCCAGCCGTGAGGATTTAAGGGAGCAGGAGACGGATAGGCAGCCCAGCCTATCCTGAGCATGTTGGGTTGGGGGGCGGCAACTCTCAAACCTTGGCACTGTCCATGGATGCTGGAGAGATGACTCCCCAGAGAGCTATTAAGGGGAGAGAAACGGTTCTGTCTCCAAGTATGTCTTCAGCTCTCTTGACGAGAGGATGCAGTGAGGAATGAATCACGATTTATAGCCAATGGATCTGTCGCACTGATGCCACGAGAGGCCGGTGGGGGGAAGCAGCCATTCTGGGTGATGGAAATGGTTCTCTTGCAAACGGCGCTGCTGTATCTCACCGTATCTGCTCTTGGGAAAGGGGTGGGCTGCGTGCTAAGCCCCCATCCCGCCCTACATGCTTCTGTTCCAGAGGTTCTCAACCTTGGCAACTTTAAGATATGTGGACTTCAACCCCCAGAATTCCCCAGCCAGCTATGCTGGCTAGGGAATTCTGGGAGTTGAAGTCCACATATCTTAAAGCTGCTAAGGTGAGAAACACTGTTCTATTCCCTTAGCAGGCATCTATTTTTACAACTCCCGAGGGGGCCCATGTCTTAAAAGCAGACCCAAACTCATACAGGCAGAGTCAGCGTCGAAATTGCAGAAAGCAAAGTGGAATAGCGAGGAGGAAACATCACCCAATGAAACGATCCGGTCAAAAGCTGTAATTGCAACATCAGGAAAATTTGGAAGAATAAGCGAGGCCCACCTGGTGGGAGAAATTATAAAAAGCATCCAGTTGCAGTGTAGGACATGGGTTTTTTTTTTCTGTAAGAATATAATGGGTGCCCAATTTGGAGTAGGAAGACTCACTGAGGGTGACCAGGAGGATGAAAAAAGTCAAGATGGCTGCTGGGAAACCATTCCATAAATCTTTGAACCCCATTCAACCCATAACCATCATCTTGTTTGGCTCCCAGCTAACCACTTGAGCAAGCCCATCAGTTTAAGGCAGCATTTCTCAACCTCAGCAACTTTAAGATGTGTAGACAACTTATTCAACTCCCAGAATTCCTCAGGCAGCATACGTGGACTTCAGTTCCCAGAATCCCCCAGCCAGCATGTGTGGATTTCAGCTCCCAGAATTCTGGGAGTTGAAGTCCACACATCACAAAGTTGCCACGGTTGAGAAATACTAGTTTAAGGCATTCTGTGCAGACCTGACTTTCCTCTTTATTGATTTTAGGATGGGACTGTGAGAAAACAGTTTCTGGGAAGAACAGAGTTTTGAGGATGGATTTTATCGGCATGAAGGCAGCCTTCCATCTTGAAGGCATGTTATAGTGGCTCGAATCAGGAGCCTCTGCAGGGGGAGAAGGCTGCCAAGATCATGCAAACGAAGCTCTGCCCCTTAGTTAGTGCCTCGCACACACGATATGCATGAAAAAGGGGTGGGGCTTCAGAAGCACCAGCGTGGCCACCATCTTGACTTTTTTGACCCCCTCCAGCTTTGAGTTGGATTTTCCAGGAAGCTTTCTGCATGCTAAGCCAAGCAAAGGCTCTGCCATCAAAATACGGTCCATGGGTGGTTACTAGGGCAACGGGAGGCTGCAGTGCTTCCTCTCCCCTCCGGTTGCTTAGAAATGGGTTGTCTCCCTCTAGTGGCCATGTTAGGTTTAATAGATGCTTTCCCATGTGGTCCCCCTCCAAGGGTGTTTTTAAAATCTCCGCCAACCAGGTCCTCTTGGGCAAGCATGTCTCCTCATCCCTCAACCAACCAGCACATAGATGAGCCCCTCTTGCTGCAGCACGCAGAACCCAGAGAAATGGGCTGTGATGCCTAGCAAGGATGGTCTTCCTTTGCCAACAGAGCCTCGTTCTTCTCCCCTTCTCTTTATTGGGCGGGATTCTCCAATCGCCTCTTGGGAACAGGTGCAACAGTTGGTGGAAGACATCAAGCACATCCTGGACCGGCGACTTGAAGAACTGGACTGGATGGATGAAGAAACCCAGAGAGCAGCCCGAGTGAAGGTGGGGGGCCAGGGAGGGGTGGCGGGGATAGATCTACCCAGCCTGAGAAGCTGCACCCTCTGGATTGTGTCGTGGAGCACTTGATGCAAATCAGTGGCGATTTGTGTGGGTAATTTCCAGATCACTCCCGGTCAACGCCAGATCCAGATCAGAGCAAGCCCGCACGCCACTCAATCCAGCTAGCGAAAAACAGAGTTTGAAGTTTACTTATTAAGCAACAGCAAACATCAAAAGCTTTTAACTGGCCAAAATGGATAAAAAAAGGTAATAAAAGGCAATATCAGGGAGAGAAAAAAACGTGAACGGCCAGGAAGAGATTAAAAGGCAAAGGGTTTAATACCCACAATTTATATTATCTGTATCAAGAACACAGAACTTTGCAGAGCCCCTGGAAACAGTCCTGGGGGTAACTAACATGGACAGTGCTCATAAAAAAAACAGAGCTTCAGTTGCATGTTTGCAGTTCTCTAGGTTTTTTTGAGCCTTCCATAGATACCCTGGGTTCAAAGGCTCTTTCCCACCTTGGAGGCATTCTGGAAGTGTGCATCACCCATAATTCCCAGCCAGCCTTAGGGATACATGTTCCTTTTGTATGTCAGTTTTGTGACTTAGAGACTACCTTTGGAATTTGGAGAGTGTGTCGTGGGCACTCTCACAAAATGGCTGCTCCAGGGAGGAGGATAGTCCACTCTTGAAGTAGCTACTATGCTGGACATGATCTTTCACAAAAATGCCCATTTACCTGGGGAGGCTGCCCTTCCCTTAAGACAGTGTTTCTCAACCTTGGCAACTTTAAGATGGGTGGACTTCAACTCCCAGAATTCCC